ATTACGTGTCTCCTCTTCTAAAAATCTCCAGGTTTTTAGCTTACCTTCTTGTGTTGGAAAGCTGACTACCGCTTATCTCCAGTGGGATGGGTGGCCCTTTTCTCTGTGCTTCTTCAGAGCTTGATGTTCTCTCCTGTTTAATGTCTACATGAGGCTATTGGGTGAGGTCATTGATCAGTATGAGACATGTTCTACATCTCCATCAGGTTCAACCAGATGACAAAGTGGTGGCTCTGCCAGTGTCTGAAGGCTATAGACATTTGGATGAGAAGGAAAAGGCTTAATCCTTAAACCTGACAGGACTCAATGGCTTTGAATTTTAGGGTCCCCTGCATGCAGTATTTTTCTATCTTTCATTATGCATGGGGCTTGCACTAAGCCAAGCGGAACTGGTTCACAGTCTTCGGGGGGGGGGCTTGTTGGACCTATAGCTCCTGTTCAAAGAGTAGTAACAGTTGCAGCTACTGCACAACATTGATTTGTGTGCCAGTTGCACTCTTTTCTAGACTAGGAGGCACTGTTCACGATCACCCATACCTTAGTGCCCTCCTACAAAGATTATTGCAACAAGCTCTACGTGCTCTTAAGAACATTCAGAAGCTATGAGAAGTCCAGAATCAGCAACAGAGTGATGTATGGACACAGCTCAATAGGCCCATGTTACTTCTGCTCTGTGAGCTGCACTGGCTCTAGTGTGCTTCTAAACTGAATTTGAGATGCTGACTGTTATCTGTAAGGCCCTTCATGGCATAGGCTGAGTTATTTACAAGAACCTCTCTCCCCAGTTTTTTCTACCCATTTGGTTCTTCCAGGAGGGGCACACTCTGATTCCCTCAGTTACAGTAAAGATTATAATCTAATGGGATCTAGAAAATTGATTATTTCTGTTGCAGTGCCTGCCCTCTGGAACACCATATCCCAAAGATTAGATTGTAAAAGATCAGCAGAATCAGAGCCAAAGTACCAAAATCAGGGATGTGCTCCATGGCTTGAGGTCAGAAATTAAATGACCCATATTATTTTTACTGTTTAGTGTTTTTTGGTTTGTTTTTGACAACCCTTGTTGTTTTTTATGCTTTTACTGATATACACACACATGCACACACACAAACACACATGTATTGCAGAATCACATCTGTAAAATCAGCAATCATATAAATCGACTGAATAAATAAATATATTTACCCAGTGTCCTCTTTGCTAATACTGACATGTGGAACAGAAAGAGATTTCCACAGGCTTTTTGGATTACTGACAAATAGCAAGAAAAAGAACTTTTAAATCAATTCTATAGTTGCACTTCTAAGCCTTACATCTCTGAAGTAAGTGAATAGGGAAAATAGCCTTCCTTCTCTTGGAAAGAAATCAATCTTAGAAGCAATAAATAATTTTTATTTAACAAGAAAGAAAAGGAAAAGGATAGAGATCAGTTTCATCCGTATTTATTTTCTGGAAGTCCCTCAATGCCTGGCTTTGTCATCAGGCCTGTGGTCTCAGTGGACCGGTGGCTCCCTTGCTAATCTAATCTCTTGTGTGCTGCATTTTTTTTAAACTACTTAATACTGTTGGGCTTTTTGTTTTGTCTTTGTTGTATGCCTCCCACTATCACTTCTTGTGAGATGTGTGATTATATAAATTTGATGTATAAAATAAATAGTGATAAAAATATTCAGTGGTAAAGGAGCAGAAAATGTAGTGCTGCTAAAATCACAGAGCAATTAAAAAAAGGTATCCTATACAAAACTAAACTGTAAAAGACAACAGCAACGTTGGCCGACAGAAGATATTGTCAATCTGTTCCTAACTTATAGGAACTTTCTAAATTGCACCCAGACAATCTACTGAGCATTTAGAGAACATAAATATGAGAAAAATAACCTCCAAAGATCATAAAACTAGTTTCAACATCATTCCGTTTGTTGTAATATATTTTGTTCACTTGAAAAAAACAAGAACATTCAGAGAGGTATCTTGTTTTGTAAAATGTGTACAAAAACGATTGACTGAACTTTGTACAGTTTTAAAAAGCTTAGTTTGTAATTCTATATTCTGCGCCCTGGGTATTAATTTAAATGAACTCAATGTCATGTCTGAGTAAAAGTATATTCTGTTCTCCTGAATTACAAACTGTTCTGGTTATTTTCTAAGCTAGTTTTCACACAGATCGTTTTATATAATTCATTTTTCTATTAAAAAGCATTCCTAATTGTAAACTATAGAGTTAAAAATATAAGAGCTTTGCTTCCCTGAAGTTTAAAGATGAAGCAATTCCCCTTTCCCCCCTCTTCTGTCAGAAAACACCATTATTTTAGTTATTAAAATGCATTCCCAGTGACAGATTAGTTTCATTAACCGGATCTACATTTCAATAGATAACACTATTGTTGTTGCTGCTAGATTTATATCCCACCTTCCCTCTAGATCAGTGGTTCTCAACCTTTTTAATGCCGCGACCCCCAACCAGTCAAGTCGAGGACTACTCAACTGGTCGTAAGTTGAGGACTACTCAACCGGTCATAAGTTGAGGACTACTCAACTGGTACAGCACCGTTTGCAGAATGGGACTTTTGGTGGGCTCAGCAAGGCAGAGACAGCCTGGACAATTCCTATTGGCTTTTGAAAGCCAATAGAATTAGACTCTATTCAAGAGAATCCATTTGTAAGCACGTCCTAATGGTAGGCAAGGAACCAACGCACTGGGAACGTCGCAGTAGTCAACAAAGGTTTTTTTTTATTACTTCGCTAAGTTGAAGATAAAGTCAGCTCTGGGAGACCTTCCGTCCCAGCGCCCTACATATACTTCACCACCACACCCCCATTACACACCCCAATCACCAGGTATCACTCCACCCACACCACACCCTCATGTCTCTCGACATATAACTCCACCCACACCACACCCTCATTTCCAGTGTCTCTATTCCCCAAGTTCTGTCAGACCCAGCGTCTCGGCAGCTCGGTTTAATTGTCTCTCAACGCCTATTGCTTTTCGTGGAACGCATTAGTCCAATACAATCCCCCACGCTAGCCGGTCACTTGGGCGGAAGCGCGTCACTGGCGGGACGTCATTGGCGGGGCGCCGGCAACCTTCCGAAAATGGTGCTGGCAGTTCAACTTGCGGCTTTATTCAAAAGCCAATAGAATAAAAGGGAGTAGCACAGCTAAGGAAAAGAGGAAAAAATGGCGGACTGCATTGTTTGGCGACCCCCATGAAATGGTCGTTCGACCCCAAATGGGGTCCCGACCCACAGGTTGAGAACCACTGCTCTAGATCAAAACAGGAAACATGGGTGTTTTCTTCCAAGTACTTCCCACAATAATAATAAAGTTTATCCCACTTCTATTCATCTATCTCAAGGGGGGGGGAGAAGCATACTTAATACAGGTAGTCCTCGACTTACGACCACAACTGAGCCCAAAATTTCTGTTATTAAGACATTTAAGTGAGTTTGTCCCTTTTTATGATCTTTCTTTCCACAGTCAAGTGAATCACTGCAATTGATAAGTTAGTAACTGAGTTGTTAAGTGAATCTGGCTTCCCTATTGACTTTGCTTGTCAAAGGTTGCAAAAGGTGATTACATGACCTTGGGACACAGCAACGGTCATAAAAATGAACCAGTTGCCAAGCATCGTAATCATGGGGATGCTGAAAAGGTTGTAACTGTGAAAAATGATCGTAAGTCACATTTTTTCAGTGCTGCTGTAACTTTGAATGGTCACTAAACGAATTGTGGTTAAGTCAAGGACTACTTTTACTCCTTCTTGCTCCTCTTTTCTCCACAACAACCCTGTGAATTTGGTGGGGCTGAGAGAGTCACCCAGCTGGCTTCCATGCCTAAGGGAAGCCTAAGGCATGGAACCAACAATGTGAAATCTCTGGCAGAGAACTCCCAAAATCACATAATTAACACCTACAGTTTAAGAGGATTTTGAACCTCGGCCTACGTTAAGTTTAACAGCTTAAGGCTCCCATAATTTTGGTGCCATGTTAGAAATAATAAACTGACACTTTTAATCTTCAATATAATTACTGCTTGACATTTAACTTTCACATTGTCTGTCATTTATTATTAGTTCTGTTTTTACATTTGTCTATTAATAGTAATTCTAAAACAGGTTGGATGCCACTTTGAATCTGGTGGTTCTTGAACTGCTTCACTCCTATTAATTACTATATATAAGATAGTTCATTCCCCAGTTACTTAATCACACAATCCTTGACTTATTCAAATTCTGGACTATATTTTTCTAACAATTTATAAACAAGCCCCAACAGAGGATTCTGAAGTTTTGTGCTGTAAGCCTTTCAAATTTGGTCAGCAGAACTTTGAGCAATTAATCTACTAAGTCAGCTGCAAACCTTTTTAACAAAAATAGCAAGAGGCAGCCATATTGTATTCTGGTTATTTTTTAAGGACTTTTGTGTGGGATCAACAGCAGAAAATGATCTGGTACAGAAGCTATTGCTGGATTCCTAAGTGAAGAAATCACCATTAAACGAACATTGTCTTCAGTCATCATGTTTAAGTATAAAGTAATCTGTTTGATACGTGATGTGTCAACCTAGTGACTAACAAGCCAATCCATACATATTGTTCAATAAACGGTAATTTATTCACACATAATTGTTAACTATAAAGCATATTTATAAACCACAACGTTTGGATTTTCCCAACACACAATCTCAACATCCAGGATTTATTGCCGTCAATCATCCTGAGCCCCAAATCATTGACAACTCTACTATTTGATACAACTGGTGGGAAATAAATGCAGCAATAAATAAAATCTTAGGGCAAGATGTGAACTTAACCTCTAAGCCGAGGTGGCGCAGCAGTTAGAGTGGAGTACTGCAGGCCACTTTAGCTGACTGTGTTCAGCAGGTCAGCGGTTCAAATCTCACCCGCTCAAGGTTGACTCAGCCTTCCATCCTTCTGAGGTAGGTAAAATGAGGACCCAGATTGTTGGGGGCAATGTAAATATATATATACACATTGCTTATTGGTGTACACCGCTTAGAGAGTGCTTACACTTAAAGCGGTATATAAGTCTCATAAATAAATAAATAAATGCCAGATGGAAATTTGACACCAGCAATTTTCCATGCAAAGCTGCGCTCATCTGCAGCAGCCAGCCCACAACGGCTCGCTGGATTACAAATCATATAACCCCCACCCAGGATCGCCGCTTGGGATACCGATTGGGGAGGGCTAGGTTAGGACACACACTCTCTCTCTCTCAACCTTTTTCCCCACCCGGAACCGAGAAGCATCCTAGATAAGATCAGCCCCAGCAACTCGAGAAGCCGCGTCACGCGTCACGCGCAGAAGAAAGGTCAGTCGCTCGGCCCGGGGAGAAGCCCCGCCTACAAGTGGAGTGATATCCGAATGGAGCAATCGCCGTGCTCTTCTCCCTCCAGCTCCCCTAGTGGTGACCCAATGAACTAGCCTTGGAGGAAGAGCCGGCTAGGAACCTGCCGTTCGCCGGGTACAATAGCATTCTTTCGCAGCGGAGGTGCATGGTCTCTCGGCTCGCGACCTCTCGGACTTCTTTGAACTGCACGAAAGCGCCCAACCGCTTGGCATCGCCTTTTCGGAGGTGAGCGGCTGGGGTTGGAAAGGAGGACCGAGGGATAGTAGTGCGGATTTGCTTGCTGGCTGTGCTTGTGCTAAGTTCTGACAGTATCTACAAGAGAAGGGTTTATTGCCAACGTATGCATGTTAAAAACACTGGAAAATGTTTTTGTGTAAGCCCCGGGAAAATGCATGAAGCAGAGAGTTAGCTACGTTTTCCCTTTTATTCCCCCCTCCCCCATTTAAGTCATCACGGCTGCGCTTATGCATGGATTTGGATTTTAATTTAAAATTCCGAAGTGTTTTAAAGTTGTGGATTTGTTGCTCTCGTGTGTATGCGTTTATATGCGCGAATGGGGGGTGTCTTTGCTTAGCTTTCCCAGACTCGATCCATTGAGACTACAATAGCCGTGATCCCCAACCAGACCAGCTGTTGGAGGGGATACAGATTGTTTGGGAATTGAATAAATGGGAACTGAATAATAAATACATTGCGTTAGACTGCTAGGTCTAACGCAGGAAAGTTTTGGGATCTGACAACAAAAATCGCTGGCGTTTGCAAGGGGTTTTTGTAACGGTTATTTCAGGCTCAAAGGTATACTGACTCATTTTATGTCTCTTGAAATTGTTGTGTAAGAGCCGTGGGTCTTGTAAAGAATTAAACCTATAAAACAACAAGATTTCTATACTTTTTGTAATAAATGTTTTGGAAGAAACTGCTTTTTATAGAATTTGTGTGCAAAACAAATGTGATTGATACTAAGAAACAATGTTTATGTTGTCTTGTGCAATATATCACTTGTTACTTTTGCTCCTCAAAACTCTACAGCTATGGTGGACAAAGTCAGATTTGTGTTTATTATTTTAAAATAGTTTAGGTTGCTCATTAATATAATTCCTATGGAGTATAGAAAATAATACAATACTAAATATCAAATGCAGGCTTGAGGAAAGAAAATATTCAGTAGACATCAACAACATGGCACAGAGAGATCTTCAAATATAGTAGGATTTCATAAGTTTGTTAAGTTCTCCAAATCTATTAATTGGAGACAAGCACTCAAAAGTATATTTAGGATTTAAAATTCAGGGTTAGGAATTTGTCACTACCAAAACTGAAGGCATGCTATTCAGAATCCTAATCCTGGTTACTTCCAATTTCTATAATATAAGTTATTGCTGCTTTTATTAAATTTTGGGAATTCTTGCCTGTTTACTATACATTACTCCAAATCCTTGCCATATTTCCTTTTTGCCCAACAAGATGTTGTGGTTTTGGGTCCAAAGTTTCATTGTGGTGAATATGCCTCTAAAGAAAAATATCCACTAAAAATTGTGGGTGTTTCAAATCCACAACCTTCACATTATTGGTAAAGCTCCCTTAATTCACATCAAATAACACACCTTCTTTAGAAGACCAGTCTCTATCAAATAATCAAATATCATGCATGGTCTCCAAAATTGATTTTTGAATTTCTCATAAACATTTCATGACATTGCCAATATATTATGAGAATCATGCCAGTCATCAGAGCTATTCTAGGGAGTTTTCATCTTCAGAACATTACACCATTAAAACCAGAAAATCCTTTATGCTGTGATGTGGATTTAATTCACTAATGTATTTTAATGATTGGTACACTGCTTGATTTCAGATTACAATATTATAACAAACTGAGAACCTACCAGAATAACATTGCTACTGCAATATCCATAAACGTAGTTGTCAGCCATTAAAATCTACCTCTCCAAAGGATATTTTTTACCATTCTTCTTGAGGTTGTAGGAGGCAGGATGAGTTTGCACTTACTGATTTGCTGTTTGTGTAAAACTGAAGGTGGAACTGAAAACCACCAGTATTTTTATCTCTGCTGTATGCCAGACTCAAAATACTACACTTTATAAACCTAAAAATGATTGTGTTAATTTGATTGTAAACCATATTTTAGATTTTAACTTGGATCACTGTGTTTTTGTTATGAAAACATACCAGTTACAATTGCTCAGTGCAATCACAAACTGAACTTTGTCTTAAAGTTTGTAAGAGTTTGACTGTCAATAGAAGATCATGTTTGTGCATCATATTCCTTAGTTTATCATACAAAAATCTGCACATTTATTTTGCAAGATGGGAGCAACAGAGAATTGTTTTTAGTATTCTGTAATCCTTACCATTGTGTAGTTGTAAACAAGAAGAACAAAACTTCATCTCCAGGAGAAGTGAGAATTTGGGGTGGGATTAAGATGAATATATTAGTTTTTAGCTACGTAGATAGTGCAGTACTGCAGGCCACTTTAGCTGATTGTGTTCAGCAGGTCAGCGGTTCAAATCTCACCAGCTCAAGGTTGACTCAGCCTTCCATCCTTCCAGGGTAGATAAAATGAGGACCCAGATTGTTGGGGGCAATGTAAATATATATATATATACATTGTTTACTGGTGTACACCGCTTAGAGAGTGCTTGCACTTAAAGCGGTATATAAGTCTCATAAATAAATAAATAAACTTCTGAAATGATGGATCTAGGCCTCCAGGTGGCAACTTAGAGGCATGTGATAAATTTTAAAAAAAAGCTGATCAGCCTTGCACAGATTTTGGGAGCATTGCTGATCAAATGTGGGAGCATTGCTCAAGCCTTAGTTGTGAGACTTGGGCTATGATATGGGACTACAAAGCATGTAAGTTAAATGCGTTAGATAAAATTTTAAATAAAGTATGCCTTTCTTCCCCAAATCTTAACGCTCTGAAATTATTAGTTTTATTCATGAGGTGTCACATTGTTTTTAAGGGTTCTGTCGAGTTGCAGCACTGGTTTTTTTCTCTAACTGAAAGATCAGGTTAGATAAAATCATGGAAAAAGTAGGAATCAACACTAACTTGATAGCATAATCAGTCAGTTTATTAAAATTCTGAGTGTAATGCTGGGTATGAGAAACCTATACATTTCAAGCCCTTGGACTAGTGAGAAATTGTTCATTGGAATGCTCTCTAAAACAGGGGGCCCCAACCCCCACAAACTTCATTTGCACATGCTCTGCACATGTTCAGGATCTAGGTACGTGTGAAACCATCCCCCCCGTACACACACACACACACCATCTGTGGAAGACAATTTTTCTTTTGAAATTGATCCCTGGTGTCAGAAAGTTTGGGGACTGCTGCTCTAAAAGTTAGCTGGTTAAAGAAAGAGGAGTGGAGCTAAGGCTTCTGGGAGAGAAGGATCAAAATGTATAGCCTTTTCATTCTATGTCCTCATCATTGCCAGTACTATATACTGTCCCTTTTTTCCAAAGTTACACTCCAATATTTTTTAAAAACAACCTTGTCAATTCGCCAGCATTTCCTGGGATTAAAAATTAGAAAGCAGCAAACTCTTCTGCAGAGAGTGTCCAGAAGATGCCTAAGACAAGATTGTAGAAGATGTTCAGTAGACTACATTGAATAATTTCATTGCTTTGCTTACAATAAAGAGTTGTTAATTATTTTCCTTTGAGTCTCGTTATAGCTAACCAGCTTCTAATGGCAGAAAAAGAAACTGAAAAGCTGGAAATGAAAATACTTCAGTAAAAAGTAAAATTAGCTTGAAGTACAGCATGCTAAATGTTTCAGAAATGTATTTGGTAGAATACATTATGTATAATGTAACAGGTAAGCCAGGTGAAATACAGAATATTCAGAACATTGAATAATTGAATCATTTGAACCATTCATCATGGTCTCCCAGTGGACCACATCCCTTTGAATTAAGGAACACAAAATAGAATCATCTCCGAACTTTTCCATCATTTGGTTAATGATCAGTTAGGGAATTGTAAGGCAGGCATGAATTCTCTTCCACTGAAAAAGACTAACATATTGTTTTTTTCCCCTGAATTATAATTAAAGCAAAACTTCAAGGATGAAGAAAACCTTGTTACTAGAGCCTGTCATTTCCTTATATATTTTTGCCTATTCTGTGACCTCTCCTCTAAAGCAGCAATATATATACAAGAGGATCTGGGAAGAAACGACCAACTCTACCTTCATAGTTCAAGATAATATTTCTCATTGTGAACTGAATCAAAGCAACCCAACCTATGTGAAGCAAAAGGTAAGATCAGATTATGCACTGGGTGTACTCCAGACAAAGCTAAGCAATTAATGATTACATAATAGCAAATCATATTGAATTCAACATGTTCAGAGAGACGTTTCACCTGGCAAAACATCTCTTCACCTAGCTACAATTACTTAGATGGGAAGCCCCCAGCAAATCTGAGGGCTGTAGAGTTTTCCAAAATAAAAGCAAAAGCACTATCTTCCTGGATGCAGACAATGCCACACAGATTCAATTCACTAAGAAAATGTCTTAATCAGCATTGCAAAATAAAATACAGAAATTAATTTTGAGAGAAGAAAAATGCACAACCCTATCCTTAAAATTAACTATATTTGATTCAGACATGAATGTGTCCTTTTTCATCTTTCAACTAGCCTCCATTCAGAATTCTCAAGAACATTTCAGGGTTTTACATAAATTGGGGGTAAATACTTTTGCATCTTTTTCATTACTTCAGAAGCCTACTGCCATACTGCTGCCAAATAAATTATAGAAATATGTCTAGGGAGGCCCCTGAAATCAAACTGGCTCAAGGAATCTTTACAACATGGCTTCCAAACCCAGTACAGTATTGCCTTGTGTCCACATTTCAGCTATCAGGATTTCTAACCATGCTGCCAGGAAGCAGTTGCTGCATCAGTCTATTAAAGGATACCAGATTGGTGAAGGTTGATATGCAGATATAAAAACTTTATTGGATGTAGTCCCAGGCAAAGTTACTAGTGCATAATTTCTGTAACTATGTTTCAAGTCACGTTGATTTTCCTTAAATGACAGGCTAAATTAAGCTAGCTCGATTTTATATTAGCTGAGTTTCTGGAGTTTGTCTAATGCACACACAATCATCTTATCCAAAGAAAAGATGGAGGCCATACTGAAGTGATTAAATATATGAATTAAAATAATATAAAAATAACAGTGATAGATAACCTTAAATCTTTGTTCTTGCTATTACATTTTCATCCTCCAAGTTCTCAGATCATCATTTTTGTGGCCTTGTTATTTTTTTTCTTATTTGATTTATGCTTTTTAGCTGTACTTTGCATTGCCAGCACAACTGTAGCTCCAGGGCTGGATTTTGCATCCAGAAGGTCCAAACTACAGTCCCTGATATCTCTAAATCAGGGATGTCAAACTCGCAATGTCACATGACATGTTGCAACATATTGCAACTTTTTCCCCAATACCAGAGCTGAGGTGGGCACAGTTTCAGCATGATGCATCCGGTCCGCGGGCTGGCAGTTGACACCCCTGTTCTAGATAAAGATGGGAAAAGACCAGATTTTAAACTCTGGGCAATCTCTTATACTCAGTTCAGGTTTTTTGGGCTATAGCAATCCCTTGGTGTAAGAGAATTTTTTGTATTTAATTTGAATTTAGAACAATGTGCTAGCGTTAAAGAAACATATATTCCAATTACTTTGGCTGTTTTGTTCAAATTGCTTGAGGCATAGTGAACACTAAAAACCCTCACATCATCTTAAAGGAAATGGAATATTTCAGGGATTTCACAGTATTTCAGCTGGATAAAGTTGATAATAAAATAGAACATACTTGATTCAAACCTATTCACCTGCTAAAAAAATTGAACACTAATCATTTGGACACTTTGGATAATGTCACAAATAGTATCTGTTGCATTTCAAGGTGTGCTGATTCCATAGTTTGTTTTACACTACATACAAACTACTTACATATCCAGGATAGATATATTAGATAGCAATTTACTGTCAGCTAATATTCATACACTGGATAATAAGATGGAGCCTAGCATATAACAAGATTACCCTAATACCGTATATGCCGGCGTATAAGGCGACTTCCGCAAGCACTAAAATCGGCGCCAAAGACGGGGGTCGTCTTATACGCCAAGTCGTCTTATACTCTGGAAATACTGGTAGTTTCCGGCGTATAAGATGACATTCTAGGAATGCGACTTGGCGCCAAAGACGGGGGTTGTCTTATACACCGGGTCGCCTAATACGGCGGCATATACAGTAAATCTATTATACATTACAAGGCTCTTTTTAATGTGTTGGCTATTTAGCTATCACAGCAATGACTTTAGAATATGTTATAGTATCTTTGATTACTTGTTTCTATACACAAAGCTTTGTAGTAAACCAGAATTACTATTTATAGATGAGACCAGATGTTGAATTATAATGTATGCATTGACTGATTTCTCTCTCTTCTTATATTATTTTCTTTCAGGAAGTCCAAGAAAAAGCCTCCCTCTTTGCTATGAAAACAGACTTATGTGGGGCAGTTTTCAGCATTTTGGTGGCCTTTGTCCTAGTAGCGAACGGAGATCGATATGGACGCAAAATATCATTGGTTCTTCCCCTGGTGGGGAGTCTTACCAGCAGCATCTTCCTCTTTGTTATGTCAGACTTGTCTTTGCCCCTGTACCTTTTCTTTGTTTTCTCCTTGGTTGGTGGACTGTTTGGAGACTTGGCTACTTTTCTTGGAGGAGCCTTTTCTTTTATAGTTGATTGCTGTAAGACTCACAGACAAAAGACCATCCGAATAGCCGTGGTTGACTTAATCTTTGGATTCACATCTGGATTGGGAGGATTGATCTCAGGATACATTCTAAAAGAAATAGACTTTATGTGGACATTTGCCATGATTTCTCTATTTCACGTGGTCAACATTTTTTATGTCATATTTTGCTTGGATGAAACTGTGAAAGTCTCTGCATTCCAGACACAGTCTTGGCGGGAAGGTCTTAAAGACACTCTTTCTGGAGTATATATGCTCTTTAAATCCTCATCCTGTAAGAAGCAAATTTTAATGATCTTGCTGCTTTGTACATTCATGACTTACCTTTTCACAGTGTATGGAGGGCTTAGTCTCTATGTGTTATATGAGCTGAATGCCCCCCTCTGTTGGAATGCCATTTATATAGGATACGGCTCAGCTGTGTCCACCTTAGTCTCTATGACTGGATTCCTAGGGATTGTTCTTCTTTCTCAGTATCTGAGAGATAGCTACCTTGTTTTTATTGGAATCTTCTCTTATGTGGGAGGAAGTATCACGGCCGCCTTTGCTAACACTACGTTGTTGATGATGTTGGGTAAGTTTCACTTGGTTAAATTCAAAGATGATGGTAAATTTTTTTTGATAATGTAGATCAGTGTTTTTCAGTCTTGGCAATTTTAAGATATGTGGATCTTAACTCCTAGATTTCTCCAAGTTGGGGAATTCTGTGAGCTGATGTCAACATATTTCAGAGGTGTCCAGATTGAGAAATATTGATGTAGGTGATTAGAACATTGGTGGTGCTTGTTATTTTCTACATTATTCATGGCACTGGTCCAAGACTCAGGTCTTTCTTGTGATCAACTGCCCAGACTTTTAATTGGAAATGCCAGGGCATTTAACCAGGACATTCTCTACGCAAGGTTCAAGCTCTACATTCCAAGTCTGTAGTATGCAAGTGAATGAAGATTATAATATTTTAAAAATGTGCTTCAAATTCCAATTGTCATCCTGTTAGGACAGTGGTTCCCATCCTTTCTGGCTTGGTGGACTAGCGGGGGGGGGGATGGTTCTGTGTGAGTGGCAGGCACGTGTGAATGCCTGCACCTGCTGCTCATGCAAGTGGAGCTGTGCGCTCGCTTGCCTGCTACATGTGTGGCCCAGTTCCTAATGGGCCAGGGGCCAGTAATGGGTAGCGGCTCAGGGGCTGGGGATCCCTGTTTTAGGATCTATAAGGCAACATAATAGCATCATAAAATATAAGCTACAATAAAAAAACAGCGAACAGCAAAACTACTAGAGGCAACAATTAATATAAATTATACCAAAAGACCTTCTTGAAATAGCAGTACTATAACTCACTTCCTGAAAGCTAGCAGTAAAAATAAAATGTAGCTAATTGCGACATTTTCAGTAAAAAATAGAGCTGAATCTTCCACTTCCTGTCCCCAATCTAATTTGCATAACCAGAAGGAGCCCACAGCAGATACTTGGCTATGTTACGTCTATTATTTTCTTGTCTTTCAGTCATTTTCTATAACTAGATAGATTTCATTCTTTTAGTTTGTCAGCTCAGAGAATGTGATAACTTTCCATTTCCTTTGTCTACTGTCCCCACAATGCTTTTAAGTAAGATAACATAATTAATTTAATAATATATTTTATAACTTTTGTCCATTTTCTACCATGCTATACTCCACCTACACCATGGCTGGTGTTATATGCCTCTGGGGAAACAACACCTACCAGATTTCTATTGCATTTAAAATCTGAATGTTCCTTCCTTTATATTGCTGTCATGAATAGTACCTTGCAACTTCAGGTTCATCCACATACCACAGTTGAAAATGTGCACACAAAGTAATATCTAATATCTTCTGAAAGAGATATACATTAAATTATTTTGGCGACTACTTTGATTACTGATACAAAATTCCTAAGTGGACAAACATATTGCTTATGATATAGATATTCCTCAACTTACAGCCATTCAGTTAGTGACTGTTCAAAGTTAGGTTGGCACTGAAAAGAATATCTTTTGACGAGTTTTCACACTTATGACTGTTGCAGCATCCCCATGATCACATGATCAGAATTTAGGCACTTGGCAACTGGCGTGTGTTTATGACAGTTGCAGGGTCCTGGGGTCATGTGATCACCATTTGTGACCTTCCCAACTGGCTTCTGACAAGCAAAGTCAGTGGGGGAAGCCAGATTCGCTTAACAACTTAATGAATCACATAACTGCAGCGATTCTCTTAACAACTGTGGCAAAAAGGTCCAAAACGGGGCAAAACCTATTTAACAACTGTCTTGCTTAGCATCAGAAATTTGGGAGTTAATTGTGGTCATAAGTTGAGGAATAACTGTAGTTAAAATGAACTTGGTGGAGGGTACCTTTTCCCTGCTTTAAATCCATGAGGATTTCTGGAAGATGGCACCATGCTTGTTACCCAGATAATTATTTGCTGTTATTTGCCCACAATTAAAGCTTGTATAAATTGATTAGCTATTTGGGGTAATTACGTTAAAGACTGTTAACTTTTGTGACTCCTATTTTGCAGTGAGAGTACCATCGATGCTCCTTTTTATACCCATTCCAGTTATTCGATCCATGTTGTCAAAAATAGTTCTTCCTAATGAACAAGGTGAGTTGGTGCTGCTAGATAAGATAAGATAAGGTAACCTTTATTGTCATTTTTATACTGTGGGCACAATGGCACACACCAAAAATGAAATTTAGTTGCCCGCTCTCAAAGTGAAACACATACATGACACACACCTAAACATACTATGAACATACTATGAATATGTATAGACCCACATCCCTACATATACCTAGCAATAAATATTAAATATTGTCCATCTTGAATATATAACGGAAGGAGGAAGCTTGAGAGTTCGCAAGGTTAATGCTGTATGGAATGAAATTCATTAATTAATTGTAGATGTCAAAGGAATCCAAAGAAGTTCCTTGGATCTGTCAGCGTGTATTTTCTCCCTGAAGCAACAGCTCTATATTGTATTGTTATCTTAATTAGTTCCATCACGAACAATCCCATTTCCATTTGGTGAACATAAGTCCCATTCGGCCACTGGATACTCAGATTCATGGCATTGAGTATCCTCATCAGCTTAATTTGGTGGCCATCTTTGAAATGTTGTGGTGATTCTTAGGAAAATGAAGTATCCTGCATACTACACTTTCATCAACCAACCAACCAATCAATTAATCTTTATTCAGTCATAGACCAGCACTCTTTTTTTACTAAACTTGTGAGGGTAATGTAGAAAGTAGGAAAAGTTACTGCTAGCTTAATAGCAGAGATCAATCTTGGAATGCATATTTAAGCACATTTTGTATCTAAACACAATTCACAATGGTTTTTATGGTGCTTAACTTTGTGGTATCCATCTGCCAAGGTGTAACAGTTGACTTGGGTAATAATTGTCTGGGAAGATAAAATCAGTTTCCAGCTTATAAATAATAAGTCGCCCAGCATAAGATGCAACTCTAATTTGCTCGACGAAAACTAATTGGTTTATTGGTTGGATTTCTATTCTGTTTTTTTTCAAGATGTACATTGTATATCCCCTTTCCATTTTCCTTTTATTGCCATCTTATGAGATAAACCAATCTGAGATACAGGGTCCGGGCCAGTAAAAATCCTGACTAGGGATTTGGAACTAGTCTGACACACTAATCACTACAGCAGCAGGTTAAGGAAGCGTAATGCATGCTGCCCCAGAATTTGTGTGAGCAGAATTAAGTATGGGGTTGAGAAAGGAATGTTTATAGAGCAAAATGGGCATCTTGTAGAAACTTAAACCGTATTGCCCCTTTAAAAATCTGGATTTCCAATCCAAAATCAGAATGACTTATTTTCCTTGTAGATGGGGATTAAGGGACAAAATGGAGTCCTTAACTCTTTCAAAGGCACTGATTTCTTTCCTTGACTGCCCCCTCCAACTTTTTTTAATGTCTCCAAAATTCTACCCTTGCTCCAGTGGATGTTATGGTGACAGCCATATTTCTTTCAGACCCCAGCCAGGCAAATCTCCAGCTGAAGGGGTTTGCCCACCCTTGCACTGATAGCTCCAGATTTAATACTGTTAAAATGATTATGAGAACCAGCCTTGCTAATTCCATTCTGCAACCAAGCACGTTACAGAAATCATAGAAAACAATTCCAGTCAGTGTGGCCCATGATTGTAGGGATAGTAGTATCGTCCTATTTGGAAAGTGTTGGTTGGGGGAGTTATGGAGCCTGTGTTACAAGGAAGGAGGGCCAGATAGACCAGCTTATCTGGTCTGACTCTTGTGGTCTAATTTGTGTGGGTCAGACATTTTCCTGACTGTCAGAGAAATGCCTTGGATGGTATGAGCAGACAGCTAAATCAATCAGTCCTGTCATTCTGTTGTCATCTTTCTGGTAGTGTAGTGTAGTTACACACACACTGCACACGCAAACAAACGTCTGGAGCTCTGTAATCTGTTTTTTTTTTCTTTTTTTGACAGGAGCTTTATTTGCTTGCATTGCCTGCTTAGAGGTTGTGACTGGGACCATTTCAATTACCGTTTTTAATACCATCTATTCAATGACTGTAGCATGGTTTCCTGGTTTCAGTTTTCTCTTATCAGCTGGCTTCTGCATAATTCCACTGAGTTTAATGAGGTAAGCAGGGATCATGCATTTTGTAGTGTTGGAATCTGTTTTGCTATTTCCCAGAAATGTTATCTCCATACAAAAGGGACGTTAGTTTTTGTATCCAGTTCTCATTGTTCATATAAAGTCATATATTTCAGTTTATTATAGAAAATGATACAAAATGTATTGTCATTTTATTTTGATTTGATTTTGTTCGTATTGTCATTTTATCCTTGATTATTTTAATGTTTTTATGCCACCCAGAGTCACTTTGAAAGGAGATGAGCTGCAAATAAATTGCCTTCCTCCTCATGCATGAGAAGCTGGCGAAGGAGGAAGCAAGCTGCAGCCCCAGTGGCAAGAAGGGCTGCCAAAAACAGCGGAGTCTGTATGTGCGCCTGCTACAAGCTCACCCATTAGCCATGCTCCCCACGCCACGGATCAGCCGTAGTGTACCATGAAGAGCAGGGCTGACTCAGGCAAGGCAGGCGCACACACAGACTCTATTCTTTTCGGCGGCCCTTCTTGCCACTGGGATTGCCGCTTGCTTCCTTCTCCAACTTCGCCAAGCCTCCTGGGTTAAGGAATGCGCGAGCAAGCTGCTGCTGGGCTCCTCCTGGGTTTCCATAGGTCTCAGATTTGGCTGCCACAGAGCTATGGTGTGGGTGGAGCCACCTCCTGTTGGGCGCTGAATGCGCCAGTGCCGCCGCTTGCTGCAGGACACCTCAAGGTTCATAGTGCCGGCATGGCCACTTGCTGCAGGAGGCTGTGAGGCTTGGCATGCAATCAGCGCGATGAGCCTTGCGGCCTCCTGCTGCAAGGGGTGGAACTGGCATAATCGATGCGACAGTCCTCACAGTGTGACAGGTGAGCATGTAGCAGGTATGCACACAACTCCGCTCTTTTTGGTGGTCCTTGCCACTGGGGCTGCCACTTGCCTTCCTCCTTCACCAACTTCTCATGTATGGGGAATCTGCAGCACCCACCTCCCCCCCCCGTGTTTCACTAAATCGATCACCCGGCTAGAATTGAGGGGTAGCAGGCTGAGCATGTAGGGAGAGGCATGTGGGGAGGTGGGCAGTGCAGATTTTTGCTAGGCACCAGGCCGGCTTCTTGGTAGGCTGCTGCTGCGGTGCTTGCTGACTGGTAGAGATGCCCTGGCTCCAAGCCCTCTGCGTCAAGGAATGTGCAGGCAAGCTGCTGCCAGGCTCCTCCTGGATTTCCATAGGTCCCGGATTCAGGTTGCTGCAGGGCTGTGGCATGGGTAGAGGTGCCTCCTGTTGGGTGCCGATTGCACTAGTGCTGTCACTTGCTGTAGGACAACGTGAGGCTTATCACGTCGGTGGCACCGCTTGCTGCATGAGGCCGCGTGGCTCAGCGCATGATCGGCGCAATGAGCCTCGCAGCCTCCTCCTGCGAGTGGTGGAACCGGCACAATTGGCATGACGATCCTCGCGGCATGACGAGTGAGCGTGTAGCAGGCACGCACAAAGACACCGCTGTTTTTGGTGGTGCTTCTGTGCCTGGCCGGCCGCCTCAGATCAACTGCAGTGCGCCGTGGAGAGCATGGCGAATGCGGGGCAAGTGCAAGGCAGATGCAAACATGGACTCCGCTTTTTTCAAGTGGCATTTTAACAACCAGTTTGCCAAACTGAAGATACATTAGGTATCAGTTCTGCTGAACCAGTGCGAACCGGCTGAATCCCACCATTGAGTTATAATATTCTAAATAGCCACTGAAATTTGCTGTGGTCTATTTGGTCCCCCCCCCTGCAAATATTCTAATGTGTCTGCTGTCCTGGTACAAGCATATTAAAGTGTCTGAAATGCTCTTAAGAGATTAGAACCACCTTTTGTCTTAATCTAAAAATGGTACAGTTTACTTCAAAGACAAGAAAGATTGTGTCTCTTTCGTGCTGAAGAGATATCTAGGCTTTTTGCATTGCAATTCATAGTAATTTTATGGCATGTTTCTTTTCAATTAACTTAGTATGTCTTATCTCCTTTTTCCCCAGTTGGTTTATGTATGTTACTTGGCACGAAGAGAACTATGTGCTACTCATAAATGAAGAAGACTGTCCTGGCCAGAATGACGACAACTGAATAGAGAATACACCTAGCAGTTAACTGCTCTCAAATTCTATAATGACCGGACCTGTGGATGGAGTTGCCAGAGTTTCAGTGCTTTCAGTGGTTCCATTTTGAGAGTTCCACAATAATTGATTGGGTCAAGTTTGCTTTTATCTTGGATTGCTCTAGGGCAGTGATGGTGAATCTTTTAGAGACTGAGTGCCCAAACTGCAACCCCAAACCCATTTATGCATTGTCGGGTACCGGGTGGGTGTGGCCCATTGGCTGGGTGTGGCCAGTTGGCTGGGTGTGGCCCATTGAGTGGGCGTGGCTGCAGTAGTAACGGCAGACTGGGTGGGACTAAAAAGTTCAATCAATCAATTTCAACTTTGCAAGATCTTTTTTTTCCCGCGAGAAGTTGAAATTGACTCATTGATTGAACCTTTTTTTTTTTTTGCACACGGCGGCGGAGGCCTAAAGCAAAAAGGTTTTATAAAACCCAGCTGAAGGCCTAGGACTGGGGTGACAGCGCACGTGCCCACAGAGAAGGCTCTGAGTGCCGCCTCTGGCACCCGTGCCATAGGTTCGCCACCACTGCTCTATGGTACCGGGCAAGGGATGCAAAGTAAATTTAAATGTGCTCTATATCCCCCGAATATTGACTGTGATACTGACTTCCCTGTCTTAGATTTTTTTCCTACTGCTGCCCTGTCTCAAATTGCCCTTTGATCCAAACTAGGTCAAGACACAGGTCAACTAAAAAAACTTTGTATTTGCTTTATCAGGTCACAGATGATAAAATTATTAAGATGAATAAGCAAGCTTATGCTTAAAATATTGATTGGTTTATGTGTTTTTCTAATCCCTCCACTAATCTGTGTCCTGAATTCAAAATTCTCAATATTTATTTATTTAGGTCAGTAGGTTAACCCTTCACCATCATCCTATCAAGTAAGTATCTCTTCTTCTGTTTCTGTCGGAATTCTCTAACCCTTATATTCATTAGTTCCCCTTTTAACAAATGCATAGCTTAGACAGCAAGCATGATATAGTTAGTAAAGAGATTGAGCTGGAACTGAGGAGAACTAGATAAAGTCTGCTCTCAGCCATAGAGTAGCCAGATTTAGGACAAAAATCAGCCAAACTAATGTCACTGGTTGTTGTGGGGAAAACAAAAAAAGGCTACAAATGGAATGTAATAAGGGTAAAGTTCAATGATGCATATTCCTTATAGAAATTGAAAAGCACAGAGAAGGAGTGGTGAGCCACCCTGAAAATCAACCATTCTCCTAACATATTTAGTTTTGTAAAGAGGGTATTATGCAGAAGATCAGCAAAAATTGTAAATTTGCACTATAGGTTGAAAAAAAAAGGTCAGTCAACAGGCGAATATAGCTTTCCAATAGGATCCAAGGACCTGTAAACTTGAAATTTCCTTCAGAAAATAGAAAGTATATCTTAATGAGAAAAAAGCAGGTACAAGTTCTGGCAGAAAAAGTGTAAGGATTTTAAGAATGAATGAATGAATGAATGAATGAATGAATGAATGACCAACAGGCATGCCCTGATCCACCAGCCTGTTTAATGAATTTCTCTCATGCAGTTGAGAAGCCCTTGCTTGGATACTTGCCTCTGCCTCAGATTTTTCAATCATAATGAGCAGAAAATTGTAGCAATGCTGTAATACAACCCCCCCACACACTTTGCACTGAAATCAAGTAAAAACATGGAATTCAAAGGGCCACATTAGTAGCTTGTATCCTCTATACCAGTGGTTCTCAACCTTTTTAATGCCGCAACCCCCAACCGGTCGTAAGTCGAGGACTACTCAACCGGTCGTAAGTCAAGGACTACTCAACTGGTGCAGCACTGTTTGCAGAATGGGACTTTTGGTGGGCTCAGCAGGGCAGAGACAGCCTGGGCAATTCCTATTGGCTTTTGAAAGCAAATAGAATTAGACGCTATTCAAGAGTGTCTATTCTATTGGCTTTCAAAAGCCAATAGAATAAAAGGAAGTAGCACAGCTAAGGAAAAGGGGAAAAAAATGGCGGACTGCGTTGTTTGGTGACCCCCGTGAAATGGTTGTTCGACCCCAAATGGGGTCCTGACCCACAGGTTGAGAACCACTGCTCCATACAGAGGGATATGGGAATGAGGTGATTTTTCCGGTCGTGTGGAACAATCAACAAATTTATGTATTGTGATTCAATAAAGTGGCATCATTCCCTTTATGCAAGAGTAAACCCACCGAAAACCTCTCTTCTTATTCTATACTGTCTTTGAAAGCCTCTGCCTCTTAATTTTATGAATCAAAATAGATTCTTCTCAATAGAGCCAGTTTGGCCTCATGCCTAAGGCACCAAGCTAGAAACCAGGAGATTGTGAATTCTAGTTCTACATTAGGCATGAAAGCCAACTGGGTGACTGGGTCAGTCACTCTCTTTCAGCCCAGCCCACCTCACAAGGTTGTTGCTATGGAGAAAATAAAGGAGGAATGTTAGGTATGTTCACGTTGTGCTATTTATAAAAATAATTTAAAAGGTATATAAATAATATTAGAATATTAACAGAAAAATAAGTTGAAACTATCTGATGTTTGCCACCTTCTGTTAAATCCTTTAATTTAATGCACCCACTGCACTTCTGCCCGAATGTATTAAAATGTACATTTTAGACATGCGAGTCACATGATCTACCAAATCACGTGTGTCAAAAAGTCAACTAATCTGCAATGTTTATGTGTTGTTTCTTTTGGAGTGCACTATATATTGACATAAGAATAAGGGGTTTTAAATGGTATTCTTACTTTGCTTGGGAACTGGCAAGTAGCAGGGCCATGCATCAGTGATCATTTTAGGAAAATTTTACTATAAATAATGAAAATGACATATACAGGGCTGCAGTGCTTGTACTGCAATACGTAACTGCCTGCAGAGCAGGTATTTATTATGTCTTCAGCTGCTGTTGAAGACTATGTTTAAACCAAGGTGAAATGAGCAAGAAGGGGTAGTAGCCTAAATGCATTAGTAGCAGAGCGCACTTGGTAATGTATTGGCTCGATTGAACACTGCGTGGTTTGTGGGTAATTCCATATAGGATTGTACTTTACAACCTTTAGTAGTTGTGGCTTTTGTATTTTTGTAAATACACATCATTTTACTGTTGCTAATAAAGACTAAAAACTATGATTGGAGAAGCAGTCTTGTGTTCTACTGTGTACCATTGCAGTTATGCATATTTTGTAATCTTTCACATGTTTGAATATAATTCTTATATACATTTCCATCTGGTTCAGAAACCTTTTGCATTTTTATGCTTCTGTAATTGAACCAAAGATGTGTATCTAATTTGGTTTACAGATACTGTTTTAAATTGCCATATAACTATAAAATTATGCTTCTCTTCCAAGATGTTGCAAGCGCAAAAGTCGTACTTGCTCGGTGCTGTGAGACATGATCCTATTTCTATACTTATGCGTGAGTAATCTAATCTAAAAGGGGCTAACTCATCCAGATGCCATAGAGCATTCAAAGCAATGAGATAAAAGAAATTTCTAGCGCTTTGGTCTGCATTTCAAGGAATCCCATTCAGTGCCTATATGAAAAATATTGCTGATGGCTTAGTGAATTTCTTGTAACTTCTTGTGTATTATTTTGTTGTCTCACATTATTTTGCAGTGTTCTGCTGCCGCATCTTGGAATAGTTTGTCACATGATTAGCACGAAGATTTAAACTGCAGATGCCAGATACATGATCCATCTACAGATGGATTTTATGCATGGAACCCAAAGTGAGGACAACCTTTTCGCTTCCTGCCATTTGCTCAGAATGTGGAGGCTCTCTTATTCCAAACATAGAACTAGATGCTGGGGGAGCAATCCAGCCTGGCAAATTGAATTCAGCTTTTTGGTTTCCAGTAGATTCCTGAAGCTACCACTGAATTTCCAATGTGTTCCTGCTTGTAATTGACTGTACTTCATGTAACTGTTGGTGGCTTTAGGAAATGGGAAGCAAGTTCTGCACATCTCCCCATCATTTAAAATGATCTCACTATCCTTCCTTCCTAAGTAGCCCCAAAATGCTTGTTAACCTGTTTGTTGAGAATCAGTGTGCTCTATGTCAGGAATGGAGACACTTAAGCTGAAATCCAGCCTTAAGTTATGGCAACTCACTGAATGATTTTAAACCATTCTCTCTCTAACGTGACAACTTAAAAAGTATCCAATACAAGAAAAAACAAAAAAGGATTATAGATTATAAATAGATAGTAGAAAACAAGTTACAGGTAATTATTCAAAGGAGCTAAAACTACACAGGGAGGTAGTTTTGAAATCCTGGCTTACTAACTAGTTCTTAACCTACTCCATTATCAGGTCATGTATGTATGCATATATGTAGAATTGGAATATATGCAGGAATAAGTGGGGGAAGTGGCAGTCTTGCATTGAACTTGGGAAAAGCTGTTGCTCCAAAATCTTGAATGGGACTAAGGCAGGGTTGATAAGTGGCGTGTTCCACTCACATTCTTACAATCTCAGAGCTCTCCAAGATTATGCCAGTAAACTTTAGTGATACTGTGGTAATTTTTAATATGCAGTTATCCCTATTGAAGCTAAAAGTTTAAATCAACATGAAGGTAAATGAAATGCTAATTTGTGAACAACAGGAAAAAAAATGCCAACAGATATCCCTGGTGTCATAACTATGAATTTAAACAAGGAGAAAGATGTAGTTGTTGAAAATCGTGATGCTGAACAGGCCATGAAGACTTAAAAATCGTATTTAGCTTTATCTACCCTGCCCCCCTCCCCCCCAATATAGCAACTGCTGAGAATTCTTGTCAGTAGCTCATTTTACTGCCTAGCTCTGAGGTGGAGAACCTATGACACAGGTGGCACCCAGAGCCCTCTCTGTGGGCACGCACGCCCCACCCCAGTCCTAGGCCTTCAGCTGGGTTTTATAAACTTTTTGCTTTAGGTGTCTGCCACCGTGCTCAAAAAAAAAGATCAATCAATTTCAACTTCTCGTGGGGGAAAAAAAAGATCTCGCAAAGTTGGAATTGATTGACTGAACTTTTTGGTCCCACCCAGTCTGTTGTTACCACCGTAGCCACGCCCACCCAATAGGCCACACCCACCCGGCACCCGATGATACATAAGTGGGTTTTGGGTTGCAATTTGGGCACTCGGTCTCTAAAAGGTTCGCCATCACTGGCTTAGCTAATTCAGTTATCAGATGGGAACCTGTATTCCCATACCAAGGTGGGGAAGGAGGGACATATGCCCCGAGTCTTTGAAGTGGGTGAAGGCTGCCAAATAATTGAAGATTAATAACTGGATAACAGCCATTATTGCTACCAAATATCACAAGTGTCCTGACAACGAACCAACCTTAACTCCAACTTATCAAAGAGATTATTCTGAAAGCAAGAGTGCCTGCCAAGAGAATGAGGGTCAATGGAGAGGTATTATTTCAGGCAGACAAAAGAATGTATTAGAGGCTAGAATCTGCTCTTATGATTGCTATTACCAGACTCAGCTTCTGTCTTAAAACAGCATTAGTGACAAACAGGCTACCATTACATGTAACTCAATTGCCTCCTAACAAAAACAAGTCCTGTTCGGGGTGGACAGTTTTGAAGATGCTATTAAACACTCAGAAAAAGTCCCAATGCTTATTGAAAATGTTATTTATTGTTTAAAAGACATCAACCATCAGGAGCAAAAAAAAATTAACTGCAAATTTCTTGCTTTAAAATTGCAAAAAGTTCTTCTTCTTTTCCAATCCTAACAATTTCATAATTTCCTATATCTGAATATATTTTGATGTATGGCCTTTTCTAACTATAAATATGAGCTGCTATAATGTTGGAGATAGTCATATATCCTTTTCTTAAACCAACTCATAAGACATTTGGCAGAACAAGATGATTATAACATTGTGCTTTTTTCACTGAGTTGGTGAGAAACTGGGTATCAAAACAAGCGTTGTTTCATTTTCATTTAATATAGTTTATTTCATCCCTCATGGACACAAGTAAGAATCTTATAATGAACAAAAAAAAGCTATGTGTAAGTATTATAATAAACCAAGTTTATGTTCAACCATCAAATGAGGCTCTGCCATTAGTTCATTTTGTGCAGGATCTGGAAAAGAGATTTAGTAAAATGTTAATTTAAGACAATTGAAGGCAAGTTTGGCAGAAAACATGTCATTTATGCAATACACTTTGTGTCTTAATCTATATTGAGCAAATTTAATTTATTCAGGTTAAGAGTAGCCTGAACAAACTCTAGTATTTGTTTCTTATATAAGAGGTAATTTCTTACAATGTTTACTCAGTTCTGGACATCCCACACATAAATATGTCCTCTCTTCCCTGCTGTCTCTACAAAATGTCTAAATGGACTGTTTCATATATGAAAAGTAATTCCACTGGATTGGACTGAAGACCTATTCTAATCCAGCATTTCCTCATAGTAAACAACTATAGGCAGTTCTCAACTTACAACAATTCATTTAGTGACCATTCAAAGTTACAACAGCACTGAAAAAAGTGACTTATGATTGTTCTTCAGAGTTACAACCATTGCAGCATCCCCATAATCATGTGATCAAAATTCAGATGGTTGGCAATTGGTTCATATTTACGACGGTTCATATAAATATGGTTCATGTTTATGTGAGCCAGGGTCATGTGATCACCTTTTGCAACTTTCTGATAAGTAAAATCAATGGGGAAGCCAGATTTACTTAACAACCAGGTTACTAACTTATCAACTGCAGTGATTCACTTAACAACTGTGGCAAGAAAGGTCATAAAATGTAACAAAACTGATATAACAAATGTCTCACTTAACAGAAAATTTGGGGTCAATTGTGGTTGTAAGTCAAGGACTATCTGTAGATACTTATTAAAATTTTTAAGAAACACAAGGGCAGGGGATAATAAATATGTCCATAGGTTGCTTCTATTACTAGCCCTCAGCAATGTATGGGCCATGCATATAACTGTGCCAACATGGGAATATGACCAAGTTCAGTCTTCTCTCCCTGTAACTTGTTCAAACTTCAGAAAGATCCTTACCGCCAAGAATATCTTCAAATCCAATGCAGTCGTCATTGCCTTTCAAGATATCCAGTGCCAGATTAGAGCTGTGAAGGAAAGGCAGGCTCTGGATCTACAAAAGATTTTACAAGTTAGCCATCCATATTTATTAATAATGATATATATTAAAGGAACAAGCAAAACAATATCAAGTTGCTCCCTTAGGCTGCACTTTTTATATTCCACCCATTTAATGTTTGAAGGATGTAAATGTAGCATGCAATGTATTGAAAATATACATTTTAAAAATATGAACTTTAGCATTACTTTTGCCACCATATAGAAACACTGCAGTTAAACAATATCTCACCTCTTCTTCTGAGATGTCAGCAAGAAGAAATAATTGTTCTTCAAAATAACATTATAGTCTCACAGTTTCATTTTTGTCTACATATTTAATATGACCCTTCCATTTGAAAAATAAGTTACCAGGGGGGGGGGGGAAATGACAACTCTTCAGACAATAGATGTATCAGTGTTAATTACATTATACTTAATAGCATAAAAAATCAAATGGTTCTGTGAAGGGATTGTTCCCCAACACATAATGCCTAGTAAGGCTCCCTAAAGAATTTGAAATAATGGCTTTGCAAAGGTTAAGTGAAGCTCACACAATTCTATGTGTACTTATCGAAAAGTAAGTTTCAATGCAGATAGTGAGATTTATTCCAAATAAATCCAGAGGGCTAATTTATATTCAGTTAATAATTCTGACAAAACACATAAACGGCTACCCCAGTGGTGGCGAACCTATGGCACGCATGCCAGAGGGGGCACTCAGAGCCCTCTCTGTGGGCATGCGTGCCGTTGACCCAGTCCTAGGCCTTCAGCTGGGTTTTATAAAACCTTTTCGCTTTCGGCCTCTGTCGCTGTGTACAAAAAAACCAAAAAGGTTCAATCAATCAGTCAATTTCAACTTCTCACGGGAAAAAAAAAGATCTTGCAAAGTTGGGATTGATTGAACTTTTTAGTCCCACCCAGTCTGCTGTTACCACAGCAGCCACGCCCACCCAATGGGCCATGCCCACCCAATGGGCCACACCCACCCGGCACCCGACAATGCATAAATGGGTTTTGGGTTGCAGTTTGGGCACTTGGTCTCTAAAAGGTTCGCCATCACTGGGCTACCCATTCTCTTTTGGATAAAGCAGTTAGGCAAAACTCAGAGAAGGACTAAGAAATAATAAATTAAAAGAATGTAGGGATGAGAAATGAAGTCCAACTAAATCTAATTTATACTATGGGCACTCAAGTATAGAATCCTACAGTTATAAATCATCACCTTATGCCATGCCAAACTTATAGGTCTTCGATGTACATAATAGAGCCAGAATTTCCATAGTAAATCATGATGGCCATGATGGCACTCAAATTACTGGGCCCAATCTGATTTCTTCTGTAGTGGTCGTTAAGTGAACAAGACAATCGTTAAGCTAATCTATGTATTTCAAAGGGTGTTTTTTGCTAGAAACTGGCCCAAAGGGGCACAAAAATAGAAAAACCACTGTAAATTGCAGTCATGTAACTATGGAACACTGCAATCAGCCACAAAATGAGCTGGTTGCCAAGCACCCTAACTGGGGTCACATGGCTGTGGGGGAGGGTGTGTAGCTACCAGAACTCAGGTCTGTCTGTCATAACTCTGAATTGGTCACTAAGTGAATAATCGTTAAGTTGAGGACCACCTGTACTATGGAAGCTCTAAACTGGTATCCTGAGGTTCCGGATATTGCAAAACAAGCTCAGATAAAATCCTACCAAAATTAACTTTTTTGCCCATGAACATTTTTGAACATGAACATTTTTGCCCATTATCTGGGGAATCCAAGAGTACCAGTTTGCGAGTTATTTTGGTTAAGTATAAGATGCCCTGTTAATTGCTACCTCAGGCATTACTATGTTGGGGTTTTTTTGCTTTATGCCTTTGTCCTACACTTTTAATTTTGTGTCATGCTGTTAACTGTCCAAGATTTTTTAAAACTGCAAATTTTAACTTTTATTTTAGCTCCTTAAAAATAAACTAGAATCTGGAGAAATTTTTTGTTGAAAATAAGCATACCTGTTTCACTGCTTTGAATTCCATTTGCAACTTCAGTGGCGCATGTAGCCCTTGAATATTTCTCAGAGTTGAAAAATTCATTTTATCTTGAGTTAAGGAAAACTACCAAAAGAAATGTTAAGAACATTATTTTACAGTCCAGGCAATCAGATGTGAATTAACTTAGTAAAAACTATGCACACAGAGAATGCTATTATTCATTTTTTTTCTCATTGAACAGGAAAAAATCTCCTGTCCAGAATAAGAATGCTCAAACATTCCTTTCCATTAACATAGAGCTTTGCTATTTTACACCATCTGAATTCATGTGACCCCATGTAATGAACAGATGAATGATCCAAGCTTCTCAGACTTAAATGTAAAAATTTTCTTGAAGGTCATACCCCAAAGGGTAAATTAGAAATCCAATAAATGTTTCTAAAAGTATAATTTAATACATAATTTTTTGCTAATGTTAGCTTTCCTTAAAAGTATTGAATGTTTTAAGCTACTATATCAAGATACATATAGAGTTATGTGCACTATGAGATTAAAAAAATCATCTTAAAATTATATTAAAACCTACATTTTTCTAGGTTTAGTTTCTATACATAATTAACCTAAGTTTAAATTAGAGCAAACATTATATTAAATTACATATTAAATGCCAGCTTGCATATTAGCTATGCTGCTCTTCTCCATTTCTATCTTCCAATTCTCGAATAGTAGCTGTAGTATTGCTGATTAACAATTACTCTATCTAGAGTTTTCACCTACATGCATGTACAAATGAAAAAGGATTTTGGTTTTCATCTAATGCCTGCAGCCTCTCCCCTAGTGAGATTATATGCACAAAAATGAAAACATTTGGAAATGCCTACAAAAGAGGAATGGTGAAGATGACCGTTGTCAGAAATGGCAAAATTGACTTACTTGATCAGTGAAAAGATAACAAGTACATTTACTAGTGAAGGAAACTCTTTGTGACTATTTGCTGAAAATGGAAAAAAATGAACTGGATTTGATGATTAGAGAGGGTAAAATATCAGAAGAAAGTAATCATGATATACCTTTAAAGAGGGAGAAAATACGATAAATTTGTAACTGCTGCAAAGAAGATTAAAAGCAGCACCTTTATTTTTCTTTTTGTTTCTTTATTTACTGACTGCTTTTCTTTATTCTTTACTCTTATTTAAATTTGTATCATTTTTTACTATCAGACAGAATTTTTAAATAAGAAATAATTAAAAAAAACTTTAGTCTCCCAATATAACTGAATTAATTTTCTTTTAGGGAATTGAAAATTCTAGTAGTAAACCAGTCCAAGCAATGAGCCATACGAAACCAAGCTCTTCATATTTTCCTCTATCCTACTTTATTTTCTTCTTTCCTCAATCAATCATGGATCTCACTGGGCAAATATTTGCTCTTCTTCATTCAATTTCTCTTCAAAATCCATCAACATAACCACTTCTGTGTCTTCCACGTATTATCTCTTTAGTCTTCTCCAACGAGATATGATTGACAATAGAAATTCTACGTTCCAATGGAATTTTCAACATTCCTCTTCCCTCATAATCCCACCAGGATGTTCTGCACTGTGCTATGATTTTTGCAGCTTGTACTAATTATTCAAAAGTGTCTATTCTGTAATTTATTGCTTGTTTAGAATCTCTCAATTAATTCTGATTTTAGTTCAGGCATCTGAAAATATAAATTTTACTATGAACATTTTTTAAAATATCTATATCTATAATATTCCTTTCTACTTACATTCTTCTCTGAAAGTTCCAAAGGATGAACAGGAAAAAGTTCACTCTTCACATGTGGAAAACTACAAACACAAGTAAACAAAGATACCACATAAAACCTTACATTAAAATCTTGTTAATGAAGGCAAATATATGTGTCAATGTCTAGTTCCAAATACAGACTTCGAATTCTAAAACCCTGAAAATTTGACAGAAAGCACTTATTTGTTCTTCATTTTTATCACTGTCATGTTCACTATATTACAGCCCTTAGCACGGGGCTTTTCAACTGGTGGTACGCGTACCACCTATGATACATTAACGAGTGGTAGGTGGTACGCAGCCCTGCCTAGCCAAGTGTAGTGGGGGAGGGAAAGAGCCAACGCAGGCAAGGACTTACTGTGAGAGAGTCCTCTGGAGCTGCAGAGTGGCTGAGAAAGGAGGAGGAGGGGGCCGGAGACAGGAGAGGCTATAAAAGGAGGCAGTTTGGGTGGGAGAGGGAGAGAGAGAAAAAGCAGCAGCCTTGGGAGGAGGCGAAGTCAAATCTAGCTGCACCAAAGGGAAAGAAGTAGGAGGAGGAGGAGGGTGGGGGGAGGAGAGAAGATCAAGATGGCCGGCCATGAGCCGATCTACAACTGCTGTGGCAGCCACCTATGCTGGCAGCAGCAAACTGGCAAGAAATGCAGTGGGGGAGGGGTCGCCCTCCACGGGGAATGAAAAAAGGCAGCAATGGCTAGAGGTGAGGCACGGGGGGGGGAGGGAGGGAGATGGAGAGTGGAAAGATTCTTATGTGCTTTTGTGACTTTGAAGTTCTAGGATTTGTGCAATGTGGGCTTTGTGTTCTTAAAGGAGTGTTTGGCAATTTCTATTTGGCTGATGTCTCATGTTAGCTTCTATTGCTCTGCTATTGTTAGCTGTAAATTTTGCTGCAACAGATTTTGAAATATTTTTCTCCTGAAAGGATTTTGCCTGTAGCATTCCTTTACTTATGAATGGAGCCATTTGGGGAGGCTGCCTTAACCGGCAGCCAATACCTACTACATTTTTTTTTCTTAAATGCCGGCTGCACTCCTTAACTTTGCTTTCTAGCCAGTAGCTAATTCTTAAAGGGGAATGTGCCTTTTTAAGCTAGTTCACTCAGCAGTTTGTCTTTTCTGTCTCTGGAAGCTTTTCCTTGTTTGATGAATATATGAAAGAGAGAAAATGGGGGGGGGGATTTCAAATTCTTCCTTCAGAAGGAAGTGGGCATGAGAAAGGAGGAGGCAGAGAGGGAGGGAAGTAAGTCCCACCTTAGTACTTGGCCACCAGCAGCCCTGCCATTGACTTTGCTTGTCAAAAGGTTTCAAAAGGGAATCACATGAACCTGGGAAACTGTGACCATCATAAATATTAATCAGTTGCCAAGCATCCAAATATAAATCACATGACCCTGGGCATGCTGCAATGGTCATAAGTGTGAAAAATGGTCATAAGTCATTTCAGTGCAATTGCAACTTTGAACAGGTTGGTGATTTGGGGGGGGGGGTCATCAAGTTTTTGACACCTTGGTGGTTCTCGAATATTGCCATATCCTAAAAGTGGTACAATCAGGGAAAAGGTTGAAAAGCCCTGCCTTAGCACACTAATATACTACTGAAAATGTTTTTTTAAATTGTGTTTAATTGTATTCCAGAATTTACCAGTGCCCTTGACATGTATGAAGTGTGAGGTAAATAGTTGTATACAGATAATCCTTGACTTAAAACCATTTGTTTAGCGACTGTTCACAAGTTACAACAGCACTGAAAAAAGTGACTTATGAACAGTTCTCACACTTACAACCATTGCAGCATCCCAATGGTCACATGAGCAAAATACGGGTGCTTGGCAACTGGCATGTATTTATGATGGTTGCAGAGTGCCAGGGTCATGTGATGGCCATTTACAATCTTCTTAGCCCGATTCAGACAAAGTCAATGAAGGAGACTGGATTTGCTTAACAACCATATGATTCAATAACTTCAATGATTTATTTATGAGACTCATATACCGCTTTAAGTGCAAGCACTCTCTAAGCGGTGTACACCAGTAAGCAATGTATGTATATATATATATATATATATATATATATATATATATATATATATATATATATATATATTTACATTGCCCCCAACAATCTGGGTCCTCATTTTACCTACCTCGGAAGGATGGAAGGCTGACTCAACCTTGAGCCGGTGAGATTTGAACCGCTGACCTGCTGAACACAGTCAGCTAAAGTGGCCTGCAGTACTGCACTCTAACTGCTGCGCCACCTCGGCTCATTTGCTTAACAATCGTGGCAAAAAAAGGATGTAAAATCAGGCACAAGTCGCTTAACAACCATTTTACAACAATGCATAGCAACAGAAATTCTGGCCCCAATTGTAGTCATAAGTCAAGCACTACTTGACTTATTTTTCCCTTAACTAGCTAGTTTGGTCTTAAGGCATTAGGCTAGAAACCAGGAGACTATAGGTTCTTGTCCTGTCTTAGGCAGAGACACATCTGGGTGATTTTGGGCTGCTCACTTTGTCTCAGTCCTAGGAAGCCAGTTTCTGAAAACCTTGCCAAAAAATTGCAGGGAGATGACTAATGGGAAGGAAAAAAAAATCCCCCATGATTGATACCATTTAATATTCCACTCTTGATTTGCTTACTCTCAAGTGGCCCTATCTATCAGTTACCAGGCTATTCTCAGTTAGCACTATACCTATCATGAGAGAAGAATGAGGCACGAGTATTTCCACACTAGACAGTTTGCCTGAAAACTAGGCTGATCACTCCAGAGTTCTCTGCAACATGCAGTTGCAATACTATAGGAATGCAGCCAATGTTATTTTATAACAAAATATATCTTAGCATGCTGTGTGACTCCAAATATTCAGTAGCCTACTCATTCACATATTTTACCACTAAGTTGCTGTCAACCCTTTGCAACCACATATTTTCCAGTGATTTGTTTACTCATAGGTAAAAGAATTTCAAAGAGACAGTGCTACAGAACTAGTTAGACAAAATGAGCTCTATGTTTGTAGAGTCATACAAATGGTTTTTTTTACCAGTCTGGTAACAAAAGGAGTCAGCTTCAAAATCTTTTTTTCACAGGAGAAGTCTCACAAATTTCCAGCATATATAACTATACACACTTGCACAGACCCTTTATTCCAGATGTCAAGCTGATGGGAAATGGTAGCTATATGCTACTAATAGAAGGAAATTTTCACCTAATTCAAGAGATGAATTGGTTCCTTTACCTAAACAAGTCAGAAGCATTCTGGAGAATATTTTAGGGCAATAATTCTGTAGAAATAATCTATATATTAAGTATTTATTATGGATGTAAGTTCTAAAAGTTATTAAATATTTTTATTATAAGAATAAGGTAAAGTGATATTTGGAAAAAGGAAGTGACAAATGGACTCCATTCCTTTGAAACTTAGAAGGTTTGCTATCCTGATCTTGAACACTTCTGTTAAGGAGCTGAAGTTATAATTATACTGAATGACTGAAGATCCGACACATTAAAATAGATTTAAGTGTCAATTTATTACAAAGATCACCCTCCAAATAGATGCTACTCTAGAAATTGACTGGAACTTGGAAATAAACTATTTCCACACTATTTTTCACAAAAGTACACACAGATCAGGCAGAAGCGCTTTTGATTATCATGACTTGATCTTTCAATTACACAGGAAATTCACCTTGTTATTTCTATAAACCCATGGTACTTACCCGCTGTGTATCACATCATGACTTTCAAATGTTCCACTAGCTGAAAAATCAGGAATTGAAATGCAGTCCTTCATCTGAGATCCAAGCCCTCTGGTATTCTGAAACAGAAGAAACATAATACTCCTTACAACAATACAATTTAAACCTTTGTTCCTATAAGTTGAGTAAACATACTTCTATCAAACTTTAAAAAACAAAGAGGGTTCACCAAAGGACTTGACACTAACAAATGAAGATAAAATGGCAACAATTCTTTCTAGGTTTAAAATTCTCTAAAAATTCTCACTTCCAGGAATGTAAAAGGAGCATAGGAACCGTAAATTTGGATTAGTTACTAAAAAGTTTGAGAACTTGCCTCTGGTAGCCAAGTACTTTATCTACCTGAAAAACACACACACACACACACACACATTTGAAAACTAAGGGACATAGAAAATGTTTTACTTAGGACAAAAATCCATTATAAAACAAGCAAAGTATATAAAGAGGAGAAATACCTACTATAAATTGCAGAAATAGGGTCAGCGAGTGAGATGAACAAGATTCCCCAATGCTTTATCTATTTAGTTACAGGATTTTTCCCCCTCTAAAACATATTAAATATTCCCATAATGTTGTACATAATTCTAAGCAGTTGTTCACTGAAAGCAGCAATACAATGAAATAAAATTAAGACTATATCACAAACAGAGCCAGGGAACACAGAACAGATTAATTTATGAGCTGAGACGCAAGGTGATGTAATACTGACTATGAAGCCAAGATTCCCACAAGCATTTGCAACACTTGTTTCCTTTCCCACCATCAGCTTTTCTTGTTTATTTTAACAGCACCTTATTTGCGTCTCTTACAACCAGTCTGCACGGGTTATTGCACCACATAATCCTGACATCTCCAGGCACTTCCTTTTCCCAAACACACACCTCTATTTTACAAATATTTAGAGTGTATAAATTTAAAATGAGCTGACTTATTAAAGCACAAGGCCCGAAACTGGATAGATTAAGTAAATAAGAGGCTGAACTGCAGGAAATCCTTCCAACAATGACACTGAAACTAATGTGCTATTGCTTCCCCAAGGAAATGAAATATTTGCAAAGTAAATCCTGCAAAAATCTTGCCAGCAGACAGCAATCCGGCAAAAATAACCAAGACTGGTCTGGTCCCAAGGCAAAGTGAATGGTTGTCATTGTTCAAAAACTGCATTTCCATGTAATATCTAGAGTGATGCTACTATATTCAAAAAAGTAAAGTGCCTTTTTACACATGACTGTTTGGAAATCAATTCTCAGCAATTTCTAATCAATGCTAGGATTTTTAAAAATCAAATATTCATTTCATTCTTATGTTTACTTGTATCCCAGTGTGATGATTGTACCTCTATTTCAGTGATTCTCAACCTTTCTAATGCCGTGACCCCATAATACAGTTCCCCATGTTGTGGTGACCCCCAAGTGGGTGTGGCCACCAATAAGAGGGAGTAGGACAGCTAGGAAAAAGGGAAAAAATGGCGGACAGCATGGTTTGGTGACCCCCGTGAAATGGTCATTCGACCCCAAATGGGGTTCCGACCCACAGGTTGAGAACCACTGCTCTATTTGTTTTTTTCCATAAATAATGCATGTATTTATGAGCTGGATCTTGTTACTATAGTTTTAATATTTGCAAACAGCACATTAGTGCTATTTCTTAATAATGGTATATTCATTTATTTGCAACTATATGTTTTAGCAAAATTCATGTAAAATTCCAAATATCCACATCAGTTCAATACATCCTGTCTAATTTTAACAATACTATTCATCAATATGTGATTTTGAATTTTCCTTACAAACATTGCAAGTAATGGAACTTGCTTTGTTATATGTTCATCTATCAACAGAAAAAATGTATTTTTCTTCTAGACTGATTCAAATGGATTAACAAAGGCAGAAGAACCGGTATTTGCATACAGATGTTATTTCCTAATTTATATTATATACCCTTTTCTCCAGTACCAAAGGTGGTATATATAACACTCCCTCTTCTAATTTTACCCCATAGCCATAATTCTGTGAGGTAAAGTGGGCTGAAAGACTGGCTGGCCTAAAGTCACCACATGAACTTCCAAAGCAGAGGATCTACTTGAAATTGGATTTTCCCAATCTTAGTTTAATATCTTTAGTGAATTATCAATTTTTCTTCACTGCTGCTTTTTCAAGCCTGTATGCAATCACGCCTGGGCTACAGAATGCATTTGAAACGGAAAGCAACGTTTAGATATAAATCTTGCAATCAAATCTAATTAATATGATGAAGTCCATGTAAACTTTTGTCAAACCTACGTTGGCAAAAAATCAGCCTTCCTTAAGTAGTATAGAAGAAAAGCAAACTGACAACACAGCTTTTTTTTTTAAGTATTCTGCTGCAGCTGCACAAGTATAGCAGCAAATAAGAAAACGAAACTGCCCTTATAAAACCTTTTAAATGTGAAGATGTAGTAATATCTTTGCCTGTATAAACTGCTACAATAAATATCAAATCATGATCCCTTACCCACTGATATCCTGCAGAAATTTGTAACTTCAGCTCCCGTTTTTGCCCAAGAAAACTTTTGTGCTAGTTAAGAAAGAGATGGAGAATTCCAGACTGGAGAAGACTGCACGTAACAATGTAGCCGCCCATCTGGACCTTCGGAACGAAGATATCACCAGGCCTACTTCTGATAACGTAGAACCCCATCGGGGAAGCCAGGGATGGGCCAGCATAGAACATAAGGTACCTCTCCCACCCACACACATACACACACACACAAAAACACACACACTCGCCAAGACCCGGTTCTCTCTGGCCATCGCTCAACAGCCCGAGAGCAAACGCTCCTCGGCTCGACACGACAGTTCTTCCCTACACCTCCCTTTCTCGCGCCTCGTGTTTCCTCCTCCCAACCTTTTGGCCCCCTCACGCGCGTTTTTGCCTCCCTTCAATCCCACAGCGACCCACTTACCATCTTTGCACCGTCACTAGCGGCTACTTCCTTCTGCTGGCTCTAAGTGACGAGAAGCGCAGTGACGTCAAATACACGCGCACTGACATGCACGAAATTCTCGCGCGACGGGAGAGAAAGTAGGGTTGAGAATGAGCTCAGGGCGCGGGAGGGGGCGGGGCTTAGAATGCTCCACTACCCGCCAATAGGAGGCGGGTGCTTGCAGGCGGAAAATTGTTTCCACTGTACTGGCCTGAGTTTATTCTCCCTTTGTTTACGTGGTGGGACTTTAAGCGTTTCAACTTTACAAATTTTTGCAGTTATTATTAGCTGGTTTCTATTTCTGATGCTTCTGCTGGGGTATTTTCTCACAGTTGCTGCTTCTCGCAGGTCAAAATAAAAGTGGGCAGAAAAAAAATAAGATTAAGGAATTGCAATATTTTTTGTTGTTGTTAAAGACATACAAAATATAGGTGACACAAGCACAATCAGTCAAGATTTCTTGAACTCTTCTAAGGCAGGTATTAAGAGCTTGGTTTTATAATACCGGAAATTGGGAGAACTACTGACCATCTATGATTGGTAGCCACCATGTGTTCCATTATTAAAAGTTCTTATTACTGTAAAATGTTTCCTAACCAAAATCATCTTCCTTATACCTTAAATCCATTGTTTCTCAATGTATCTTTTGTAACAACTCTATAACAAACCTGTTTCATGTTCAACATTATGGTCCTTTGGATATTTGAAGACAACTATCATGTTTCTTTCCCAGTGTCTGTAACTGTTCCTCATACCTTTCTTCTTCCAGGCCGTCTTTTCCCATATTAGTTGTTCTTTAAACATTCTCTAGACTTGTCATTGTCTTTTCAGCATCATTTCTCTTCTGAACTATGAAAAGGTTAACATATTTGCATCCAATATACAAAATTAGCATGTGGGTGGATGGTTTTATTGATATATAATATGGCATAATCGATACTTAATATGGTATATTATTGCTCTCCTTCATGTGAGATATATTGATGAAGTCATCCTCAAAAAGGTATAAAAAATGAAATCTCATTACCTTGAGGTTTAATTATCTAACTTAATGCAAAAGGAGAAGTAGCATAGGTAGTAGAGCATAGAAAGAGCTTGAAGCCAATCTTGACTTCACTCATTCATGCCTTTTTTGAAGAGGGGGTAAAAATTATGAAAGAAAATAAAATGCCCCATTTATTATGGGGATATATTCCTAGAGCATAATAAAATAATGAGTGAATAATTTCTTGCCTTGACTTACAACCATTAGTTTAGTGGTAGTCTGTGACTTACAATCATTTGTGTAGTGACCATTCAAAGTTACAATGGCATTAGAAAAAGTGACTTATGAGTGTTTTTCACACATAACAACCGTTGCAGTAGCACCATGGTCATATGATCAAAATTTGAATGCTTGGCAACTGATTCAGATTTATGATGATTCCAGAATCCTGGGGTCATGTGATCATTTTTGTTACCTGCTGGAAAGCAAAGTCAATGGGGAAGTCAGATTCACTTTACAACTTTGTTATTAATTTAACAACTGCAGTGATTCACTTAACAACTGTGGCAAGAAAGGTTGTAAAATGGGGCAAAACTAACTTAACAATTGTCATGCTTAGCAACAGAAATTATGGGTTCAATTGTGGTCATAAATTGAGGACTACATGTAGATACATACTAACCAAATGACAAGGGTTTTTTGTTGGTAGAAATAGGCAACAATATGAGACATTATCTTTTAGCAAAATATTTTTTTAGTGCATAAACTGTTATGCTTCTTTTCCTTGCTCAAATACAGCTTCTAATAACACAATTTGTACTGTTGTTTTGCTTAGCATGATCTGCATGCCATCTGCATGCCTTAAAATGCTTAGTCATGTTATAATAAATGTTGATCTTTGCCAAACGGTATAGTGGAGCAACTTAATACCTGATACTTGAGTGTATTTTTTTCTACATATATCTTTCAAAACAAATATTAGCTTAATTAATATAAGGGATTTTTTTATTAAAAAGTATGGAATGTTCTTAAGTTTCTGCTTAGCTAATTTCCTAGAAAAAAAGTAAATCTTTCATGTTTCTTATATTTGTGTTTGTTGATCAGGATGTGAAACATTTACATTTCAAAGTTGTCCTTGTAGATGTAGGATATAGACACGACACTCTCATTACACGTACATAATCGACATGTTTAGGCTATATAACAAAAGAATGCATTGTTGCAGTAATAATTTGGTTTCCCTTAAAAGCAGACTTCCATAAAAGGGTAACATGCTAAATATAAATAATGAGAAAGTTTAGCCAACAGGTTTGTTCCCCTTCCCCCCCCCCTGAGTTTGCCTTTCTTTTAGTTAATCTTTGAAGTTTATAAGGTAGGCGATAATCTTCTCCAAGTTAACAGAGTAAATCTAACTGAGCTCAAAGTTCTTACATCAGAATATGCTTGTTTGTTTATTCATTCATTCATTATCTTTATCTCCCGCATTTCTTCCAGAACCAGTATATATAACCCTTCCATTAAAAAACACAGAATGACATTAACCTATACAACTTTAACTCATAAAAGTTAAAATAGTTTGGACCACCTACTCTTAGCAAATAAGTCTGACTGAATTTACATTAGTTCTGTAAACTTGTACTGAATCAGACCTGGTCCACTCCAACAGGTAGTTGTTTCAATTCATTCTGTTTAAAAAACAATCTCCTATTGTATTCGATACATTGTGTTGGAAATGACTTAAATCATAGGCTAGTCTTTCGTAGCTGGCACTTAGATGTGTGGCCACCCATCTAATCTAGTTTGGGGAAGGGGAGCACATCTGCTTTACCCCTCGGCATCCCTGCAGGAAGCAGGCACCATTTCTGGAGTGGCCACAATTGTGTTGGTTCCAAAAATGGCACCCACTTCCAGGACAGATCCATGTGGCCTTCAGGGATATCAAGGGGTGAAGTGCGTTAAAGAAGAGCAGAAAGCTCCACCTCTTGGTATCCATAGGCTGAGGGGTTCCATCCAGGAAGCAGCACTATTTTTGGAGAGGCTGCAGTGAATTGTGGCCGCTTCAAAAATGGTGCCCACTTCTGGAATGGCATGTAAGCGTGCCAAGGTTTGGAGTGACCTGCTCACCTTCCCTAACAAGAACTCCAGAGCTTCAGAGATCTACAGAAGGTAAGTGTGTAATTGATGATAGGAAGTAGGGAGGAAAGTGAAGGACTCAGTGGGATGGAAAGCAGATCCAAGACCTAAGCGACCCCAGGGAGAAGGAAGTGAAAAGTGGAGTGCCTTGGGTAGGGGGCTGCCTACCCCAGATCTCCCACTTAATGACAGCATTGGGAACAGCAGGGGTAAGGATTCTTAAATGAGGCAATCATGGGTACCTCACTTAACGACCGTCACAACTTGCAATTGTAATGGACAAGCTTGTAAGTCGAGGATTACTTGTATGGATAAAGTCTGTATATTTTTGAAATTTTTATAATAGTTACCTGGAATCGAAACTGGACAACAGATACACTTGGGTCTTTTAACTTTTATTTGCATACGTACATATAGAATTGTAATCCCAAAGATACTTTTTCACGAAGCAACTAGACTTTCTTTTTTCTCTTTGAAGACCTTTTTCTTCTCATCCAGATTTATAGAATTGTAACTGATAGTTGTTACAATAACAGAATAACAGTATAACTGGAAGAACCTTAGAGGTCTTCTAGTCCAACTCCCTGCACAAGCAGGAGCCTTTATACCATTCCAGACAAGTGGCAATTTCTGAAGGCAGGTTGTTCCACTGGTTAATTGTTCTCACTGTTAGGAAATGTCTCCTTGGTTCTAAGTTGCTTTTCTTCTTGATTAGTTTCCATCCATTGTTTCTTGTCCTGCCTTCTGGTGTTAGGAAAAATAGGTTGACACTCCCCCTCCATCTTCTTTGTGGCAGCCCATAATATATAAATATGTATAATATGTATGTATAATATAATAGTGTAACATATTTTATTTTATTTCTTTTTCTTTCTGTTGTTTTTTCAGCAGTTTTTATGTATTGTTTTCTCTAAGAATGTATGTATTTGCATCTTTATGTTTTATTATCTTTATATTTTGTTCTTTTTCTAAAAAATAAGTGAAAGTCTTTATTAGCATTCATGAAATAAAATAAACACTTGTTCTTTGATCCCTAACCAACTCTTTCTTGTTAATCTGTGCTAGACTTTTATGTTTCAGGGCTGATTGTACATGTAGTTATTTGAAAAGTGATTTTGTTTTAAATTATTTAGCTTTTTCTGCATATTAGATAAACACAGGCATGTTTTGCTAAAGATTAAAAATAATTTTCACACAACACTGCAAAACGTAGCAAAGATAATAATGTGTAGGCGTCAGTGTGTTCCAAAACAAAACTCCCTGGGGGCCTCTTTTAACACACTGCTACGTTAAAATCGTGTTCTGAATGCCTCAGGAAACCCCTACTTGAACCCACCCTTTCCTGAAACTGGTGAAAGTATTTTTAAAAATATTGCAATGAGAAAAGTTGCTGCTAACTTTGCCAGACCAGATTGCTTTGTTCAGTTGTTGTTACGAGTTATTTCAGTTCGTGTCCAGCATATTGATAATGCTACTGTTTTTAAAATATCTGTCAACGTAAAATAAAGCAGTCTAGTGGGTGAGGAAGACAGAAACTCTGTTAAGACCAACCCAGATGTTAAAGTAAAATAAAACTCTAAAGTTTTCTAAGACTTTCCTAAGACAAGATGTTTAAAAAAGAAAAGGGGGAAATCCGATATGGAAACCTGGCCATTATGGAATCAGTCCCCCAAAAGATATTATAAACTAACTTTAATTATTTACTCTTTGGTACCCCAGTTGTTAGATTGCTAGAAACCTGATAATAAAGTAAAAAGTTTACATCTCTTGTATAATAGCCACAACTTTTGATTAGCCAAAAATAAAAAACCACAACTATTTGCTTGCTTTTCTCAGAATCCTGCTATTTTTGCCTTTTTGAGGTATGGTGATATTGTGTATTATACCTACTCCCATCTTGTTTTTACTTGATCAGAATATCCTTTCAATTAATTATAGTGAAAAATTGCCAATATAATACAAGTAGAATTTTGTACCTAACACAAATTCAT